ACACAAATTCTGTTCAAATAAGTATTTATACTTTCATATTTAGTACAATAAATAGTTCGGTGGCGTGTCATAATGTCCAATGTCATAATGTCCATAGACGTTATGACGCACTAAATTGAGTCATAATGTCCATGGACGTTATGACAATTTCAAAAGTGTTACAATGTCCATGAGCAATGGGACATAAAGTCCATGGATTTCAAAGAGTCCATTTATCAAAAAAGGCTTAATTTAGCGAAGCCGGTGTTCGAAATACCCCAGAGTTTGAAACCCCTGCGCCCGGCCGAAGGCCGGCTATCCAGGACACTTTTTAATAGGAGTCCAAAATGTAACAATTACCAAATTTAGGAGCAATTCTTTTCGGGATAAGAGCGTCCCTATCTTAAATTTTAAACAAATTTTCCAATACATTTCTGATTTCAAAGTGTCACAATGTCCATGGACATTATGACATTTTAAAAAAGTGACATAATGTCCATGGACATTACATACATTTTAGTTAAAGACTATCTTTGCATATCATGGGTTATTTTTTAACGCCGACACAGATTATGTCACAATTTTTCTATCAAATAGTAGCTAAAGATTCATAATTATTTTATATTACACCAGTTACCTTAAATTTTAATAAAATTTGGTGGAAATATTTCTCTAAATATGACCTGTGACTCTACAGTGATTCTTTGAGTCGATTGGTAGGACCAATATTTTTGGGTGTTACAAACATCAGCACAAACACATAATACTTTCCCCACTATAGTGGTGTAAGATATAAAAATACTTTGTTATTGTGTTATATCTTTCTAAAAATACCGAATTTCATTTGATTTTTCATACTTTTTACATGACATTTTACTATTTATACCCTACACCACTATAGTGGGGAGCGTATTATACGTTTGTGCTGATGTTTGTAACGCATACAAATAGTGGTCCCACACCCACCTTAAAGTATATCGATCGACTCAGAATCACTTTCTGAGTCGATTAAGACATGTCCGTCCGTCCGTCTGGCTTGCTGTTCATGTAAACCTTGTGCGCAAGCTACAGGCCACAATTTTTAAGATATATGGATAAAATTTGGACCATACGAGCCTTTCGGCACAAGGACGATGCCTATTGGTTGAAATCGGTCCATTATTTCACCTAGCCCCCATACAGCCTGACCTACCGATTTTGGATTTTTAACTCATAACTATGTCAAATATATTACTCACCAAAAATAGGTACAACTAAGTTTTATATAAGCATATGATGATGCCAATTTTTACAATGATCGGACGTCATTTGACCCTAGCCCCCATACAAACCCCTCTTTAAAAACTTTTTATCCTCATGTGAAATTCACTTACAAATATGGATAGACTTAAGTTTAAATATGTATATTGTAAGTATAAAAAATCTAAAATCATCTCGTTGTCTTTTTACTTAGTTGTCATTATTATTTATGTGATGCAATGTACATGACCACATTTTTATTTTTTTTTTAGTTAGAATCTTCTATGAAACCATTTTTGTTTTGTTGTATGTAATTGTAGTTACCATCACTTTATTATGTGTTAAACAAATTATACCAATTTTTCTCAATTATTCTAAAACAAAAGAAAGTATAACATTGTATAACATATGAAAATATCCTTTCTACTCTTCCTCCTCTTTAAGATTTGTCTGGAAGTATGTGTGAATGGATCTTTTTCTTTTCTAACGTACATTTATTAAGCTGCTACTTCAAAATATAGATATGTATACCTAAATTTTAGTTCAGAATTTGTTGTATCTATCTCTTGAGGTCCTTTTCGGAAAACATGAATCCAAATTCATGATTTGTTTTAAAATTCTAAAAGATTTTATAAAGCTCATAAATCTCACACAAACATGGGTGTAATTATACATATAATACGATACAGGTTTCATAATAATATTTAGCACACTTACAAATACTTTGCGGATCAGAGCAATATAGGCCTCATGCAAAGTTCTCTGGCGTAGGACATCATATGATCGGTTATGCTCAACTTTAACTTCTTACTTGTTTTTTTTTTTGCCTGTAATTGAGGTGCCTGTTTATGGTAGAGTCAATTTGTCAAAAGTTTTCTGGTGTTTTCTTTTTTTGTTGTGTTGTGTGTAGGGGTTTCTATTAATTAAATTAAGTGTGGTCATTATTTGAACTAAGAAATAATTTACAGAAAATGAGAATTAATTAAGGGCTTTTTATTTCGTACTTGAGTGTGGAACAAGAAAATCAAAGAGTAAATTTAAATAGAGGTCATATTTTGTAATGCTTTTGTACACAGATTTATTGTTAGTTGAATTAGTTTAATCTGAACTATTAAATTACGTTAAAAACTTTGTGCAAAAATTATTTATTTAAAATGTATTTGTTGATGTATTTCAAAATTCTAAAAAGGAGTAATTATACCCTACAAAACTATAGTGAGGAGTTTATTTTGAGTTTATGCTGATGTTTGCAACCTATTCTAAATATAACATTCGGCTCTGAATTATATTCTGAATTAAATATTTTAACAATGTCTACCCGTTAGATTATATTGACAAATTGTTGCAATCGACCCATTATCTCACCTAGCCTCTATACAAGCTCATAATTATGTTAAATGCGTTAGTATCGCAATATAATCCTATAAAGATTCAAAAGAATATATATTTTCTTTTGATAAATTATACGCGGCTCAAGTTCAAATTATTTAAAGTGGATATCGCGTAAAAATTTGACGTGCTAGAAATTTTATAATACCACGTCTCTGTTCAAGAGCACTAAAGCTATCATTATCATGCACTAAAATTCAAAGCAGCAAAAATAAAGTTTAAGTTGCTTAAATGTACATACCACAATCAAGAAAAAATTAGATATAAAATGTTACTTAAAATAAATCTATGTGTTTTTTTTCGTATTCTTTGAAAGCTGGTGTAGGGTATCATATAGTCTGCAACTATCCTTTCATATTTGATGTATTAAAATCTTCATTAAGTACACAGAGGGAAAAAGAAATATACACGCCTGGTACCAAATTGACACCAAACTGTTTATAATTTTTCAATACCATCCGATGTCAAAATATATACTACATACGTCCGACAACACTATGTAACGCAACTTTGTCAACATTACGTAGTGTTATTGAAAAATGTTAAACTCTTTTTTTTGTGTCAATTTGGTACCCGGCGTGTATATTTCTTATTTCCTCTGTGAATAAGTAGCAATTCGCAGTAATGTGTCATTCAAAGGAAGTTGCTGCTAAATAGTCCGACAGTGCGGGGATAATGGTAAGGCGGATCGTTAATTCTAAAATAAACAGAGAAAGAGTTATTTTTTGGAATAAGTATTTGGTGGAATTCATCTAATTCCTATCTTAAACCTCCTTTGGACTGTCCGTTTTTTACTTCTTTTGACATCCAAAAACTAATATATTATCTCTATTAGACAATCAGCAATCAACTATATTAGCACATCTAACTCAGATGTTTGGAAGCTGGATGAGATATTAATATGTGCGTATCAAGCTGCAGACCCTGGTCTAATGGTTAAGTGATAAAATATGTCTATCTATTCGATTTTGATAGTCCAAGGAGAATTTCCAAAGGATATTCTTACTTAATGCTTTCCCTTGTAAAAATTCTTTTTAAAAATTATTCATTTCAAAAATCATCTTTTTATTTTTCTTTGACAACCACAGAAAAATCCTACCCAGATCCAAATGTAAAATTTAAAAATATTATCCCACAAATTAAAGTAGACAAAATTACACTTATTCAAATGACAGTGACACGGTCTCACAAATGTTCGGACCGTTACCCAATTTACGTTGAATAGAATGCTATCGATAGGAAAATGATATTTCAAATCTTGGAATAAGAAATTTTTAATTTCATAATATGAATTTGGAATTATACCCACTTTAAAAAGGTCAAACGTGAATTTCTGTTTCCGTTTAAACAAACAAACAATTTTTTAATTTATAATAATACTTTATTTAAAAAAATATATATATATAAAAAATCTTAAAGACAGATCTTAAAATAAACATTGAACTGTATTTTTTGTACACAAAAACACATTCATCAATACAAACAAAAAATTTAAATACACATATAAAATATTAAGTGGATTACAGTTAATTCAATTAATGCACTAACAACCGAATTAAGTTTGTCGAAATGCTCTGAATATTCAAAGAATGAAATTTTCAAATAATCTTTTTGATATTTTTCGTGCCAAAAAATAACTAAAAATAAAAAAGTTTTCTAAAGAAAAGAAAAGCTTAATGCAGACATACTGTGAGATTAATGAAGAAATTCACATATGCACATTTACTTTAACTTATATACCCGTACACGCAGAACATGTTCTAAAGACATTTCACAAGAAAGTTTTTACAACAAAATTTTAATAACTTTATGAATTGAAGCTAGATTTTCATTCTTAAATAAAAAACAAATCAATATATGTGCATTGGGGTATAACTTTTATACAATTTTTGGAAATTTCATGTCGGCCCTACACATTCCACATACATTGAGCATAAACAAGTACGTCGAAAAAGTATATCAATTTTCACGAGCGTTAAAAATATTTCCGCGGCAAATTCCTTGAAGTTTTCAATATTTAATCTTAATAAAATTTAAAATTTTTTAATACAACACTTGAAGTTTTCAATATAAACTAGTGTCATTGTTTGACCCACGATATTTATATGTATGTGTAAATGTGAATGGTTTTAGAAAATCGATTTGCCCCGGAAAGTTTTTGATCCAAAACGAACCGAAAAAAGTTTTCGTTATGTGAACCATATTGACTACCTCGTTGTGATAGGGCCTAATTTTAGTTATAATCCTAATGTACATATGTATTTTTGAAATTTAGTTTCAGCACCAATTAAGTATAGCATTCTATATATTCTCTATTCTTCCGGAAGTTATTTTGAATTTTACACTTAAACACATTTATTTTCCGAAAATAAGCTTAAAAAAACAAATGTTCTTTATCTAAAGCTAAGTATTTTATTAAACAATATTGTAAACATTATTTCGTGTACAGTCTTTTTTTTATTCTATGTGCTTTTATGAACGAACACAAAGAGAATTTAAGTCGGCGACTTGACAAACAATATTTTTTTATCGTGGCTGTTGTTGCTGATATTTTTGTTGTTACTGTTGTTATTTTTATTGTTCTTATTGTAGTCAGTCCACAGACATTGAATAATGAATTTAAATTAAAATGTTGATGGTACTGGTATGACAGGCTGGAAGAGATGAAGTCTGGCATCAGCATGTCCTAATTTGTTGGTTGCATTACAATAGTAGTCACCAAAATCCATTTCATTGATGCTGGCAACACGCAACACGGAAGTTGTTGTCTCATGTGATGATGCCGTATTGGAGATTTCATAACGGGAATTAGATTGGAGTTTTGAACCATTGCGATACCAGAATACCGCTGGTGCTGGGTAGGCCTGAACAATGCATTCCATTTCGGCGGCATGATTAAGTGATTGGGCGATTTTGGGCCGTTGGACAGCAATTTGTGGACGGAATTCCACCTCAACACGTATGAGACGACGATCTGGTTGACCCACTCCATTGTTAGCAATACAGTAGTAACCACCACGATCTAAACGATGAGCTTCTTTAATGCGCAGTGTAGGACCAACTAAAGTATGTCCACCAGCAGGCATTATTGCTTTATCCTCACGTTGCCAAGAGAAAGTGGGTGCTGGAAAACCATCGGCATGACAAGTAATTTCAAGATTTTGACCCTCAGTCACTTCCATTGATTTGGGGGTGTGTTCTTCTGATATGATGGCCGGATGTTTGATGGACAAATTCAGTTTCTTGGTTATCTTATCGGTAGCCGTAAGAATGACTTGACATTCGTAAGAACCCATATCGGCTGCTTCGATTTTTGTTATTTTGAAGGTATAAGTGGCGGTATCCGTTTTGTCATCCTTACTTTCCACAATTGTATAACGAGGATCGCTTAAACTAAGTATACTGCGCATAGAAAGTACCACTGAACCAGCACCCGATTCACTATCACGCTTTGCCCAACTTACGGACATGCGACCCACATTTTGAACAGTACAATTGAACTCTACATCTTCACCCACACTGGCCACCACATCTTTGGTTATATCACTGATTACTGCTGTGGCTGGGGCAGCAGCAGCTTCCGCTATTTTGTTATAAAGCAACGCCAAATTCGCTGCGAATATCAGATAAATTTTTAAGAATTTCATTGCACTTGACAAACAGCACCCCTGCACTTTGCTCGTTTCCAAATATGATATTGTTGCACTTAATGTTGCGCTTGAGAGTTGCCTTGACCGCTTACAAATCACTACTGATCACTGGCTTCGATCGCAGTTTTGCCAAGAAGTCGTTTTGTTTATCTTTTCATTCAAATACACAGATTTTCTTCATTTGTTTGGTCGTTGATTTATTGAATTTTGGGAATTCTCTTTAGTTGTCACTCTCTTCTTTCTTAGTTTCAGCTCTTTTGATTGTGGAAACTACTCTCTTATAAATTTCTTATCAATTGTAGAAGAATAATAAACAGTTTCACTTTCACTACAACTCAGTTCAATTTAGTTGAATTGTTCGTTAATATCTGCTTTCTTGTTATGGTGCTGGTGCACTGAGTGATGATTCCAAAATGCACACATCCAAGTTAAATTCAACTTTTAAGATGTTGATGACAGCAGCAGAGTTTTGTTTTGATTGCTGATCCAAGGCTGTTATCGGTACTAAATTATTTCAATTAAATTGTTGTTGTTTTCAATGTTGACTTCCTATTTGCTTCTCCCACACTCACTTATTGTGTAAATATTTTTCTTTTCTTAATTTAAACTTTATCAGTTACTTAAAATATTTAAATATTTTTCTTGCTTTTAAGCAAATGTTGCACGTTCATCACTCGACCCTCAAATGAAATGACTTTCTTTGTAGCAGTTTATATGAAAATTTGTAAATTTCTACTCTGCGCCACAAAAATAACAACAAATATTGCAGCATGTGTGACCTTTAGCAAAGTGTGTCTAATGTGAACAACAACAAAACTTCTAGTAAATAGTAGTCGAAATAGGAAAAAACAGCCATTTAAAAATTCGTGGAACATGTACTCAAACACTAACAAGTATTCGCTTGTGTGTACTTGTATCTTGTAGGTAGTAAGTAGTTCTCACACTTTGGTTGTGATTTTCTTCTAAAACAATTCTTGCCATTTTGATTTATGACTTCATGTATGTCACTATGTATGTTTGTGTCGTTGCATGTACAAAGTGGTTGTTCATTGTACTTGAATTTGAGAGTGTAGTGGTGTAAAGAAGGTAGGTAGAATAACATTATCGTCTGCCGAGGTCTTACACAGGGAAATTCCATGGTCAAATAATCAATATGGTTAGCATACTGTAGTCGATTTGAAAAAACCCACTAGGAAATTTGGAGATACATTTAAGATAAGATAAAAGTGAAGATAAATACAACATATAAAATATAATGATGATTTGTTTTCATCTAACTAAAGTAACTCATACCGAACATGAGACCCAAGACGAAACCCTGTACCAACTTTCATTTAACTAATTATAATTTCCCAGTTTGCTCTTTTTAAACCCTCCACCACCATCAGTGGTGATAGAGGGTATATATAAGTTTGTCATTCCGTGTGTACCACCAAGAAATATTCGTCTGAGACATAACAAAGTATATATATTCCGGGTCCTTATCAAATTCTGAGTCGATTTAACTATGTCCGTCTGTCTTTTGCACATATAAATAGAATATGAACAGAAATCATATTACCAACGTAGATTTGTATAGGTTCACAATTGGTTATAGCTCCCATACATATAAGGCCCACTTCCGAAAATCACTCAAATGCGCATATTTCACTGATAAATAAAGCTATCGAGATAAAATTCGACATGAATATGCTTTGTGTATGTATAAATCACTCTACGATTTTTTTCCGGATATGACCGTAATTGGCCATAGCTCCCATATAAGGTCAACTTCCGAAAATCACTTAAACGCACATATTTTGTTAACTAAAATAAAGCTATTGGGGTAAAACTCGTCGTGAATATGTTTGTTATATATATAATCATTATGCGAAGTTTTTCCCGGATCGGTCCATAATTGGTCACAAATCCCATATATAAGGTTCATTTCCGAAAATAAATTAAGTTAACAATTTCATTGATAATAAAACTTATAGGGATAAAATTAAATTGAATATGATTTGTGTGTATATAAATCAGTACACGGAATTTTTTCCGGGTCGGTCCATAAATAGTCATAGCTCCCATATAAAGTACACTTCTGATAATCACTTAATACCACATAATTCATTATTAAATGATTATATCCGGATAAAATTCGACATGAATATATTCTGTATATTGATAGCTCATTCTGCTAAAATGTTTTCCGATTGATGCGTTAAGGCCATCAACATCGTTTAAAAAGTCGATATCGGAAAATCAATAAAAATAAATTTTGTTCGACCTAATCAAAATAAGTTTCATATATGCATAAGGAAATTATTAAATGATAGCACCCTTAGTACGGAAATAAAACTTATGCCGAGTTATCTAAAAACTAGATAGTTCTACAAATTTACAGGGACATGTTTTATTGGCCTAATTTCGAAAATTCACTATAAAGGAAGGATATCAACTTTCAGTAATTGTGATAAAATTTTGGATATTCTTATTTTAAAGTTTTGATAAAAGTCGGGACAAATTTAAGTGATTACTGAATAACAACGTATGTATTTCAATCATTAAATTCTACATAAAAAATTTATTTGATGAGAACTAACAATTTTAAATGTCATGTTTTAGTAGCGCAAATTCTGTAAGTAACGGACTGGATCTGCTCCATAGTTTTTCGCTATTACATAGTATTTAATCTTTAACCCTAACGTTACCGACTCTTATAATTTTTTTATACCCTACACCACTTTAGTGGGAAGGGTATTATGCGTTTGTGCTGATGTTTGTAACGCATTAAAATATTAGTACTATACCCAACTTAAAGTATACCGATCGACTCAGAATCACTTTCTGATACGATTTAACGATGTCCGTCCGTCCGCGTTCGTTTTGACCCAAGGACGATACCTATTGAATGGTTAAAATCGGTCCATTATTTGACCTACCCCCCATACAACTTTCGAGCTCATAATTATGTATAATATAAATGTATCTCGATGAAAGTTCGCACAAGTAAGTTTTATACAAGCCTTGATGACATTGCCGAATTTCGAAATGATCGGACTTCATTTGACCCTAGTCCCCATAAAAAGCCCCCTTCAGAAAGTGACTTGAATATCCGCAATTCATTTATTAACACTGTTATTGCAATGAAATTTAGCACAGACAAATATTATATAAATACAAATCTATCCAGCCCATTTTATCGGGATCGGTCCACATTTGCTCTTATCCCAAATATAAAGCCTCTTTTAGAAAATTAGATTTTCGTCATTAAATTGCTTAAATAAATCGGAATCAAGGTAATATTAAAACTAAATACTTTATTATGAAAAATAAATTACATTTAATATTCATAACTGGTGTAGGGTATCATATAGTCGGCCACGCTAGACTATACTTTTTTACTTATTTATTATTGAAAGGCATCACATTTTGTTCTAAATATAAAAGCATGTAACATCGAGGTATTAAAGAAATTTGGTAACATTATTATAATTTTTATTAATTACAATAGATTTAGGAAATTTTAAAAATTTTTCAGGTCAGGTCAAACTGAGTCATAAACTAAAGCTATATATAGAGAGTAGCCGATAAATGCCTGAATTAACTTATTTTATTCAAAATGCGTACATCCACTGAATAACTCTATAAGAATATAATTTTATGTGTTAATTGATCTAATTGTAATTCATACAAAATATTAATAACATTTAACATTATTGTATAAGTATCTTGTAAATTATACAACTTAAATGTGCTTAATACCTTCATTAACAACTCTAAGGAATGTAAAACTACACACATGTACAAGAGGGTGGCCCCGTTTGTATGGAGAAAAAAATAACGGCCATACCTAAATTAAAGAGTTGAGCGTTGCGTTACTTATAATTTTTTTTTTTTTTTGTTTTCAACAAATTTGTATGGAACTCAACTCTCAGCGCTCTTTTTAAGGTTTCTCCAAATTTGTTCACGTTTTACCATAAGGACTTATATGAAATATTGATATCATGTGAAAGGCCTTTAAGAGGCGCTTTCATGTCAAATTTGTGTATTTTGAGAAATAGAATGACCAATATTTGCATTTTCACTGGGAACATCAGCAATTTCCATTTTTGAGCCATCCTAATGTACATGTATATTCGAAAATATATACACACACCTTAACAAATATGTATCCTTAAAATCACCAAAAACAAAAGTTATTTAATAATTTTATTTGTTTTTGTGTTTGTATTTTTCAGTTTGTCTTTTTCGTTTATTTTTAATGTTCACTCACTTAATACTACTAATGACGATCATTGTCTTCTTGACTTTAGATTTGGATTATGTGTGGACTTTGTGTGGCATGTTAACTGCTGGCAACTAAAAGTCACTGAATAAATATCTCTATACACATATACATACATACATATTACATAGATATATAAGTATATACATATAGACACATTCAAACATACACATTTCCACACAAAGGTGCCTGCACATACTTACTCAGATATAAAGGATACATAAACTTGCCATAATAATTGTGAAATCTTTTAATAGAAATCTCCTTAAAATACTCATACAAACGCACACACACAAACATATAAACTCCAATAAAATAACAGACATAAGAAATATAAACATACATACATATGTATGTATGTACATAAACATTGCAGTATGGTCAATTTTAAAAGTTCTAAAACTTCTAATTTTAATTTCATTGGCGATGTTTAAAAAAGCACTGATAAATATTTAATAAAGTTATAGAATGTTTATTAATTTTGTATGGAAATGTACTTAATAAACCATAAATAAACAATTAATATCTTTATGGATACGGGGCAAAGTCATTATACCGACTATATTCAGTACCATCCTTGACCGTGCAATAACAACCTGTAACCTCGTTGATATCCTTTTGATAATGGGAGATTTTAATGCCCAAAAAGATTCAAAGAACTTTGGTTTGGAAACACAATGTTCTCACAGTCCCATACACCAAGTAACTTGGGTATCTCCGGACAATAGCCAATAGCGACAATTAAAAAATACTCCAACAGAAAAATAACAAAAGGCCTGGAAGGGACAATTTATCTCCAGAGCTACTTAACCCTTAAATGCATGCGGTCAGCTCTATGACCAAGCTAGCTTTATTCAAAAACACTCGAGAAACACGAATTCGATAATAGGCGTTTTTACAAAAAATAAAAAAAGTATGGTTTCTAATTTGGACCATGTGTGAAAACTAGTTTTCTCTATTATTAAGGAAATATAGATATCAGAGAGAATATCAGAGGAACTCAAAGAGGGTATTATAATAAAGTTACCAAAGAAAGGCGATCTGGCAAACCGGAACAACAGCGGCGAATTACTAATTCATATTCTCAATAAAAGTATATTGGATTGTCTAATGCTGAGGTTGAGTAAATATCAAGCTGGTTTTCGCCCTAATGTATAGTGCATCGACCAAATTGTGGAAAAATAAGTTGAACTGAGATCGCCATTATATCTGGTATTCTTAGCCTTTGAGAAGGCATTCGACACCCTAGATCACGGTGTTATATGAAAAGCCCTTGAAGGCATACTGGAGAATCTCATATAGTTAATCAGAAGCCTTTACTCAAAGGCGAACAGCCGAATGCCAAACAGACGAGAGCTTGTTTTCACGTAAAATCAAAGTTGTTTCTTCCTCTGTTACAATATT